GCTCTCTTCTTTATCAAGCAAAAATAAAAATTCAATTACTTAAGGTTGAGGTGCAACGTGTAATTTACACTTGCCAAATTAAAGATGCATGTAGAAGTGTATTCTATATGACAATAACATACAATTACCTATGCAAAAATACTTTAAAGAAATTTAATCTTCTTTAGTAATGTACTACTTGTGGAGAAGAGAGTGATTAATTTTTTTTTATATTAACAATAACATAACTCACATACCCAAGTACCAAAGCAGGGTTCAAACTCAAGACCTTACACTTGCACGAAGGTGCCATTGCCACAGAGGCAACTAGCCATTGGCAAGAGAGTAGTGATTAATTAAAAAGAATTTATGAAGTTTGTTTCTCTCTTTCTCTTTGCGCGTGCACACCATTGATTTTCAAATTGTTTTATAAAAGAGTTAAAATAAGTCAAAATAGCTTCAGATGAAGTCCAAATGTAAATAATTAAATGGGACAATTCAAATTACCAACTAAAATGCAGTAAGTTATTTTTACTTTAAGGATATTTTTTAATCACCACATGTCAAAACCTAACAACCCCTTAACAATGTGTTGCACACGCCCTTACTTGCATATTGGGAGTGTGTACAGGGGGTTTTTTTTATACTTAGCAGATTAAGTAAATCAAGGGATTCTAATGAAGCCCATTACTCACCTCACTTTACAAGAATTTGCTGACTCTAATTGGGGACTTGATTTTGATTGGACTTGCATTAAACCAAACAGGAAATCAATTGATGGATTTTGCATGTTTCTTGGGTCTAATCCCACAATGACCTGTACCACTAGAAGACAAAAAATTGTGACAAGGTCATCAACAAAAGCATCACAGGCTGGCCGATGCTATGGCAGAAGCAATCTGGTTGAAGTCATTGTTGGATGAGATCGATGATGATATCAATCACTAAATTTACCAGTTGTGTAGTTTGTCAAAAGCACTACAAAAAAATTGATTTAGTAACAAATAAATCCCTAGCTAAATGGTATAAATCTCTTGCGAAATTTAGTGAGGGATGTCCCTCACTAATTTCATTGTAAGAAACAGTATTGCTAAACTTAATGATAACATCTCACTAAATATGTTTATATTTAAAAATAGTCATCTAATGCCACATTACTGGTGCCTTATCACGAACCATGTGTTGGTCTATTGATGTCATGTCATCTATCATTTCATGCCTCATCACCTGCCACATATGTGATGACTTATGCCATGTCATATATTCGTTATATTTATACCAATGTCAAAACTTGAACCCTTGATCTTTTGCCTTTCTCAAGCTTTATATTTTCCTTCTTTGTCAGTTGAATTAAAATACATCTACAATCATTATGTAAGAAATTAAATATATATTATTTAATTATACAAATATATCAAATAATATATTATAAAAATACACATGTATATTATATTTTATTTTAAATTATTAATATGTTGAAAATATTTATATTTGTATTTATATGACTCTTTATATTATATTTTTTAATAAAAATAATATTTTTATAAGGAAAATTACTTAAAATAAAAAAAAATATTAAATATTAAATAATTTTATTATGAATGTTTTAGATAATTTTTAAATTTGATTTCTATTTTTTAAATAAAAATAATTAAATATATAATTAGTTAAAAGTCATTTTTTTGTAATAATTAGTTAGGGACATAATTCCTTGCTAATCCCTCACTAATTATTTAATTTTAGAGAGGGATGATAGTTTCTCACTATCTTTTTTATTAATTATCTTATTTTTTAAAAGAATTGATAGTCACTTACTATTTTTTTCATTAATTATTTTATTTTAAAGAGAGATTGACATTTTCTCATTGCCTTCCTCACTAACTCACTAATTTTTTCATTAATTTGACATTTTAAAAAGATAGATAATCCTTTACTCACTAATTCAATTTTTTTATTAGTGAACTAGCACTGTGCTGTGGTAACAAATCCTGTGTCATACACAAAAATGAAACATTGAACTTAATTTACATTTTTATGTGAAAAAGTTGAAGAAGGGATAGCGGCCATGCTCCACACTGTGGGATGTGTTTGGTCGAAGAAAGGACGCATGTTACTTTACTGTTTTTCAAAGAATTGGAGGAAAGGGAAGAAGAGGGGGCTGGTTGTTTTTAAAAAAAAAAAAAAAAGAAAGGAAGAAGAGGGGATTGATCAACCAATGACGAGAGGAATGATGAATCGTCCGTGATGAGAGAAAAAGGGTAGAGAAGAACAGGCCAATCATATATGAAAGACACATCATCATATATCATCATATAAGTGGGCCTCATCACCTGAAAATATTCTCAACCTCATTCATATAACAGTTATATAACATTACCTTTTTAAAGAGTTGATAACTTTTCAGGTTAAATTAAAAAAAATTAATCATTTAATCTTTATAATTTTAATTTAATTATAATTTAATTTTAAAACTTTTAATTTAATTTTAAATTAATTTTTAAACTTTATTTTTTATAATTTAATTTTTAAATTTTTAATTTTTTAAATATTAATCCTTATATTTTAAAAAAATAAAATTTTAAAGATTAAAAATATTTTAAAATTTATTACTAATATTTTAGATTATCAAACCCTTTTAACCTTTATAAATATTATAAATTTTAAAATTTTAAAAAATTAATCTTTATAATTTTATTATTTAAAATATAAGAATCAATATTTAAGAGATTAAAATTTTAGAAACTAATTTATAAAAGATAAGTTCAAGATTTAAAATTGATTTAAAACTTTTAAGACTAAATTATAATAAGTTAAAGTTGAGAAATTGAGTTAAAAATAATTAAAATTATAAAAATTAAATGATTAATTTTTTTAAATAAAAAGTTAAATCACAATTTGAATTCCAAATTGCAGGCGAGGCAAGGGTAATCTGAATCCTAAATTTATTTTGATGAGTGTATTTTGACACCTATACTCCCCCTACCATTATTTTAGAGTAAACGTCCGTTGTTGGGCCCGAATTCTCTCTCTCTCTCCCTCCCTCTCTCTCTCTCTCTCTCTCTCTCTCTGTGCATCTCTGCTTTCTTCTGTCGTTGCATGTTCCGCTCTCCCTCCTCTCTCTACAAAGAGAGAGAGAATTCGGAATTGTTGATGATGATGATTCTCTCATTGAACGTTTACCGCATAAGAAAGCTGGACAATCTTTTCCTACAAAGACAAAAACCCAAACTCAGAAGCATTATATACGATCGGAGGATACTCGCTTTGCTTTTTTGATTATAGCTATTTGATTCTAGTAAAAATTAAATGTTAGTTTCTGGCATATCGATTTTTCACTTCTCCGACTACGCTCGCTCTCATTTCTCCAACTGCTTCCTCTTCCACAGTCCTCATTGACCCTGCCATTGACTACCACGTCTCCTACTCCTTCCTTCAACAAATCAAAAACCTCACTTCCTCCACCCTTTCCGAAGGCCACGTCGGCAGGGGCGCCGCCGCTATGAGTTGCAAAAGAGGAGGGACTGTACAGTGAGGAATCAAAAGCCAAGGTCCACATCATTAAGAGCAAATGAGTCTTTTCACTAAAAACATATTTGCATCTGCCTTTGGACCTGTAGAATCAATTCAAATTTTATCGTGTCTTAATTGCTATTTTCTTTTTTCTGGGGCATTAGTTCGATTCCTCCCCCCCCCCCCAAAAAAAAAAGAACAACACATTATGGAAGATGATAAGAATACTACGGTTATCTTTCCCCTGTGATTTAATATATTTTCCCAAACTACGGTTCAAAATTGCAGTGGCGGACAGGTACAACGAATAAATACGAACAGCCAAACATATTTCCAGGCAAAAATCCCGTGAAATTCAATCCCAAAGCCAAATTGTGGCGTAATCTGCTTCTCTTCACTTCTCGGAATCAAATATTCCACCGCACAATTTCTAATTCTTCATCGTCGTAGTCATTTTGCCTGTTTCTTTCTCATTTTTATTTGGAATTATTCCTTCTATTTCAAACCACCATGTGTTTTGGTGGTTGAGGCATTGTATTTGTACAGTTCCAACTTTAGCGTTCTGGGTTTTCTTTTCTATCCGATGAGTCATGTCAATGAAGCTGCGCTTGTCGAACCCTTATTATTAGTAGATGGAAAGCGGTGACGATCCCAAATCAAAGGTATTACTTTTTTTGCAACCTTGCTCTGCGATTTCCTGTTGAGTTGAAAGTGTACTTTAATTTTCATTTGAGTTACTGCTTTTCGCCTCCATTAAAATTAGACAATATAATGTTTTGATTCACGAGTTTTTCTAGTTCGCCATTTTTTTTTTTTTGGCTGCTTTCTTTCGAGTAAGGAAGCTCAGGTGTGGACTTGTTGAAAGGAAATTCTTCTAGTGGAGTAGAATAATTTGGGTTTAGCAAATAGAATTTCAGGAAACTTACACTAACGTCATCATTCCTTGTAAACGGAATAATCCAGTTAGGCTTCTGGCAGGTTGTTGTAACTTGTAAATCTTAACTAAGTTGCTGAATGTGCAAATGGAGATGTATTGGTAACGCATCGTGTTCCATTTAATTGACCAGTGTACATACAACTTAGTTAATTTTGACAGGGGTTCACGTTGATTTGTATGGATACAGCTTATTTAAATGACTTTTATTTCCTTCCTTTTTGTTTTGTTTTGTTTTTTGTTTTTTGGGGTGGGGGGCGCTCAGAATAATGTCCAACTTCTATTTTGGAGTTTGTAACTACAATACTTTGATAATGTCACGGCCTCCAGAGTGACCAACACAAGAGATACATTATATTACATATCCTTTAAGCTTTAAATTAAGAAATTTTTTCATTTTAAAACATAATTAAATTTGAACTGAAAATTATGACACACTTAATAAAAATTATTATAATAAAATTTTTAATATTTTTATAAAAATTTCAGCAAAATCTCTCCTCTAAATAGAATCTCCCAAAAATTTTATAATACCATATTTTACAAAAAAATATAATATCAATCAGGAGCTCAAATCTTTCTAATTAACAGACAACATATATTAAAATAGAAACCTAGCTATTGGCAACGTTGAGCATCTAATCATAATTTCTAAAATAAAATACATAAGTGTTTGTAATTACATCAAAAGGAGGGATCTCAATAAATTTTTCACCTAGCACGTCTAAAAGTCCTCAGGGGTCAGCAGCGTTAGCTAAAATATCTGAAATCAAAAATAATTTTTAATGAATAACGTCTCAATAATAAATAATTGAACATGAATCAAAAGGAAAGTTTGAAATAATTATATAAGTTAAAGAAACAATAATTTTCATAAAAATTTAATAAATTTTGAAATAAAATGGCTCTATAAAATTTTAAATAATATTGAACAATCATAGCAAATGTTATTATCACTTGATTTCAAGAAAGTATATAAATGAAATAAATACTTATAAATAACTTACGAAATAAAAACTAATGGAATATAAAAGCACCAAATAATCATATTATAATTATAGAGACTTATCAAAATAATTAACAAACATGGACACACAGGCAATGAGGATAAATAATCAAACGTAGCTTATGCCACGAAAATAAATGTGGATACACAGTTTGTGAAGGTAAATAACTAAATATAGCTGAAGTTATGAAATAAATGTGGATATATAGTTCACGATGGTAATACTAACCAAATATAATTTGAAGCCATGAAAAAAAAAACACAAGTGTTTATCCCACAAATAACAAATGTGAGAATAAAGCTCACGAAAACAAACTAGTTAGTCATTAACCAAGGCGTTAAGGGCTAACGGAATTATCGTTAACAACCAATGTCTTGTATAGAGCTCCTTTTAAGTTCAATTTCAAACATGCGAAAAACATCCATATCAAAGCAAAAATAAAAAAATCAACGTCAAACTCGCAAATTATTTTTTTGTATCAATTCAATATTTATCGGAATGAAATCTCATAATAAAAGTCCAATCTTGCCTTTATAAATTAATTAAAATTATCAAATTGCATAAAGAGAATTTCACAAAATAAGGTGATTTAATTATCAAAATAGTCAATACTCACATTTTAGTATAAAATGGTTTACATAAAAATATAATATTTTTGCAAAGATAAATTTTGATTGAAAAATTAATTAAAACACTGTCCATTTATTTAAAAAGTTTTAATATATAACTCGCTTTCAAACTATTCTTCTAGTAGTCAATACTCTTGATGTCCAAGTAACACTATTGTTATTTCCTTTAACAAACAGTCCTAAATATTGGAAACTTCAATTTCAAATTTAAAAAAAATAACACAAATAAACCTCAACTTCCATAATTTTTTTTTTCTTTTGCGTTAGTACATCAAAATTTTTATAAATACCTCAAAGGCCAGAATACATACATAAATAGAAAATTAGCCCCAAATTTAGCAATCAAAATACTCTTCCCAAGCATCTCTACATCCAATTTGTGTAGATAAATTGGCTTCCATAACACTTAAATTTCCAATAATACAATCATCACATTTAACATTCATCATCCAACAACCCGTACCTCTTAAGCATTTCATCGAGCATCTTGCACGCATGAATTTCTTGACTACTACCAAACTTTCTTTCTTCAAATTTCATTCCCCAAACTTCCTAATATCCATATTTAAAACAATTCAGCTTTCCAGATTTTAGTGCTTTAACACAATTACGTTTTTTATACCTAAAGAAAATCAATTTCCCAGCTCTATATGATTCACAGCTGGCAGAAGAAAGAAGGAAAAATGCTTCTCACCTCAAGTGGCCGATGACACACGCTCAGGGAAGAGAAGAGCAGAACCTACCACTGAAGAGGGGAAGAAGAAGACATCATCAATTCAACCTCCAACCCATAAATCAGTTCTCTTACAACTTCAAATCAGCTCTTTTCCTTGCTTATCATTCACGAGCGGAAAGAACGGAGGAATAAAGATGTTCAGGATCAAGAAGCAGAGCAGACACGGGCTGTGAGAATGGTGGACCAGCAACGGCGAACGCACGGCATCTCAGCTCTCTCATCGGCGACAGCAAAGAATAAAGAAGGAAGAGAAGAGGTCGGAGATGGCAGAGGAAACGGATATCAGATCGCACACAGCTTCTAGAATTTTCTCTTCCTCGCACTCTGTAAAACCGAGACTGGAATAAGGAAGAGAAGAAAGAGAAAATAAATCTGGTGAGGGTGAGGGTGTTTTGGTAATTTCACGGGCTGGAAAAAATGAATAAACTCCCTTTTTGATCTCAACAGATTCGAACTCGGGACATTTTGACCACACATGATTGTTCCAAACATTAATAAAAATACACTTTAGCCAAAATATTTATTCTCTTTTTTCTTCCTCTTCTTTTTTATCAAGGTTATTACACATAATGTCATTACTACAGCAATTAGCAACATATTCATGATGAACGGAACACTTTTGTTGCATTCATGTCTAAAGCTACTTATTATAATTCACTGGCTTTCCTCCAACTAAATGTTTGTTTAAGCTTTCATCCTTTATGAGTTTACATGAATAGAGATTGTCGTGGTCACCATTTGAATATTCTCCTTTATTAAGATGATTTGCACTGTCGAACTTCTTACGTAACCAAGGTAGTCAAAGGTGAAAGGTGTCCTAGTAGCACTAGATTCTAAAATGCTTTAGGCAAGAAGCGCTCAAACTGTACATGTCTAGTGAAGCATGGGACTAGGGTAAGAAAAATGTTATAAGTATGCTATACAAACAAAAATAGATAAATATAAATTTCAAACAGTGTTTGACATATAAATTATCTATCCAAACATAATAATCATCAAATGCACTAATAAGTCACTTATATCACTAGTTAAACATAAATAATCATATTTCTTTGGATATGGTTCCTTGGGGTGGCCTCATTTTATTGTTATTTTGCAATAACGACAACAACTATCATATTTATTGTTGTTTTGCAAACTCGAAAAATAAATAGCCTGAATAATAATTTAAAATAAGAACAATTATTTTACCCTTTTCTTAAACATCTAATTAAGGGTGGGTGGGACTTCTAAGGTTGGGTTGTTTCCTATTTTATCCAATAACTGTTTTAAAATTGATGCCCTGGGCTTCTGAGCTGCCCCATCCCTTTTAACATCAAATACATTGAGATGAATGAGGTGCTCTCCTTGACAGCAGCAAGAAGTGCCAAACGTACCATCACCAACGTGCCTAGTTGAAGCCAGCACCTCTTATGGTGTGAGGATGAGAGGCACTGGGCTTCTTCAGCACCTTGCCGCAGTGCCACCTTTAACTACACTGTATTTGACTGCATTTTTTATTATGCCTTATGATATTCTCATGGTAAATGTTTATTTCGGGAAAAATAGACTGAAATATAGTGACGGAAAAGGCAGTAGATGCACCTTTCATGTTGTTTGTAATAAACTAGATAATTTTTTTAAATAAATATATAAGTTAATTTATTTAAAATGTGTTTATACTTTATATTAATTTTTGAGATTAATATGATAAGTTATAGAGTTGATGTAGTGGCAGCTGAGTAAGTGTTTATTTATCAGATTTCAAGTTTGAATCTGATGAAGGCCAGAGGGGGAGTTAATTTTTTGCCCTTTTTCTGTGCGAAATTACCAAATTGCCCTTCTCACCATTATGATTTTTTCCTCCTGTTTTCTTTTTCTCCAGCAGAGCGTGTGGGTCAAGAGAGTTGTAGATTTCACCAGAAACTTCGAACCCTCTTCATCCAGCCTTTCGTCCTTTATCGCCATCCTTGCCATTCAACTGATCGCTGGTGACTTTGAGAACGCCGGAAATTCCATCGTGGGGAGACATTCATTGACCGGTTGTTCTCCCCTGTTTTCGTGTCATTCTCCCTTATCTTGCTGTCCGTGAAACTGTGCAAACACTCCAAGCTTTCTCGTCGTTTTTCTTTCGTCCGCTTCAGGTGGCTGTGAGTTCGCAGGAGTTCTCTTGATCTTCTCGCGTTGGTGTCGTGCAGCAGATCTTCTCTCTTCTTTCCTCCTCTCAGCTCGTTACACAGAGCTGTGTTTCATCTTGCTTCCCCGTTCAGTTTTGGTTGGGTTTAGGTGAGGAGTTTCAATCCCTTTTTATTATCAGTTCAGCTGTCCTTGTAAGTGTGGTTTTCTGTTGCTGTACATGAGAGTGGGGGCTGCTGTGTGTGTACATTATATTTGCAGAAGGTAGCGTGTGTTTAGTTGCTTATTTTATCCTCTCCTCTTTGTTTTCTGCCATGAAGGTCTTAGATGAGGAAGCCTCAAGTTTTAATTGCTTCTTGGTAGGAATATATGTGATTTGAGAGTTGAAGTTGGCATAAATTTAGCTCCCCTATTGCTCTCTGTGGCTGCACGTGCGTGCATACGAAGAAGAAATTTAATTTAAAGGGGAATGGTAGTTGTACAAGAAAGGATGATTAGGTTGCAGATTGGGGCTCTATTTGAAAATGATTGCATTAGTAATATTTTAAGGTTTAGAGAAGCTGAAATTTAAGAGAAAAATATTAATATTAACTTGATATATTATGCCTATATAATGTTTGATAAATTGTCTAATAAAAAATTTTACCTTAAAGAAATGAAATGGTATGGCTAAAGCTTTATAAAGAAAGTTATAAAGATGAATAATAATGTTTGGAGTAATTTTAAATCATAAATTTAGCTTTGAATTTTAGATGATGATGGGCAATTTGAAATTGTGTTTAAGATTGAAAATCTATTAAAATTTTATTTATTTATATTCTGATAGGGTGTGAGAAAAAACGATACCTTGACAAGAATTAAAGGGACGATACCTTTAAGAATTTTAAATTCCAACGTATAAGTGAATAACATTTCATTTAATTTATTTTTAATAGCGTTTTACTGAAATATTTGATTCTTATAAATTGCATTAATTTTAAAAATTATGGAATATTGATGAAGGATAAACAAATTATGATAGGTGCATTTATTTATTCCCAAGAATATATTTCGAAGATTAATGAAAGCATTCTTGTATGGTTATTAAACTTTGAAATTTATTGGCTACTCAATTAATACAAGTTTGGTATATTAGTTATAAAGTATGATTTTGGCAAATTTTGAGATTTGAAACAATTCATGCGAGTTTGGCGTTGAGAATGATAATTTCATTACAACAATAATTATTTTTTTCGTATGTCTGAAACGTGATTTTTAAGAGAACTCTAAACAAAACATTGCTGCTATTGGCAGTTTTGTTAGCTCATAGTGCGTTATGGTTAAAAACTAACTAGTTTGTCTTGTGGGTTTTATGCTCATGTTTGTTATTCGTGGGCTTTGTATTTGCATTTGATTTTATGACTTGAGTCGCGTTTAGTTAGTATTATCCTTATGGACTATGTGTCCATATTTATTTTTATAACTTCGGCTGCATTTGGTTACTTATCCTCATAGGCTGTGTGTCCACATTTGTTTTCTTGGCATAAGTCACGTTTGGTTATTTATCCTTGTAAACTGTGTATCCACATTTGCTACCTATTGTATTGAGTTCTCAGAATTCTAAATGTTGACTAATATGTATTTTCAAAATTTCCATGGTTTTTGTTATCAAGTATATCACTTTGATTTATGCATGAATAAATTATTTTCTTTTAACACGATAAAATAAATTACTTCTAATTTACTCTCATTTTATAGTTATGATTGTTATTTACAGACTTATAAGTTTCTTATGTTGAATTACCATCTTTTCAATTATTTTACACTATTATTTGAGATTATTATTTTTAATTCTTTTAAATTCTACTTTGGGAATGCTATTCACTGACAAAATATTTATTTTGATCTCAAATTTATTAGCTGACGCTGATCCCACCACCAACTTTTGAAGGATAATATAGCTATATTGGGTAAAAATTTTGTTTGGTACTGTTACTTTTTGATATAAATATTTAAACCTTAGGTATTTTAATTTAAAAGAAAGATTAATAGTTCCATAGAGACTGTTGATAAACTTTATTTTAATTTGTATGCTGGTTGCTGGCTGGAAAGAACTGCGCTCCTAATTTATACTTTAATCTGTAAAATTTTTGTATTGTAGAATTTTCAGAAGATCTTAATTATAGGAAAAATTTTATAAAAATTTTTACAAAAATGTTGAAACTTTATTATGACAATTAATATTAGAAATGTTAAATTTTTCATATTTTTTGATTATTTATTTTTAAAAATGAAATGAATGAGGTTTATGAGAATGTGTGAGGTAATTCATACTCGTATCAATCACCTTCTATTTTTAGGGTGTGACATTGTTATCATTTCTACTATGACAGCTAAAAATATGGCTTTCTTTCTTTTCTTAAAGTGTCGTCATGTGGAATTCAATAGTTCATACCATATGGAACATAACATTTATTAACCACGATCCAGTCCAGATCCCAGATGGTAGCAGTTTCAATTACTCATGTAAATGTGCCAGCGTGGAACTTTTTCTGTCACTTTTTTTTTTTTAAGACAAAACAACGTGGAACATTTTTTTTTTCCAGCAGAGAAGAAATTTGCTTCCCCCTTTTCATCTGCATACCTTTATTCATATCCTGTTTTAATAAATGTGAAAGCTGCTGTCATTTTAAATTCTTCTTTTTTTCACTAATAATATACAACTGTTTCTGAATCCAAAAACACTAGAGAAATACAGTTTTTCTCATTCAAAATATAATAAGTGTAAAATTCTGATAGCTAATTTCTGATTATAAATTTGGAAAGGAAATATATCTCTTTTATCATTTGTGGCCGTTTACTGGAAAAAAATAATGAAACTGTTTTTCAGTGGAGACTTACAGCGTCCAAGAACACGTATAGTTTCATAATTTATTCTTTTGAAGGGAACTTTTTGACAATTAAAGTGATATATAACTGCTGCAATTTTTTTTTATTTATTTTCTCATTTCTCCAGGGAATATGAAGATACATTTGATCATGCATAGCTTTTTAAAATTTACGTTTGACGTATGCCTATCTTTTTAAACTGCACAGTTGAAAGCACCAACTTGAGAAGATGTATTGAGTCCATGTGTGAAGACTAGTTGAAAGTATAAAAGAGATTAATTTTGCCCCATCCACAGACTGTGTGTGTTAAAGCAGTTGTTTTGGTGGCCGGACATTGCTTCTTGAAACCCCCCCTTCTCTCACACACATTCAAAACAGACATTTCTGAGTCTCTGTACTGTGTGTGTGGGTTTTTTTGGGTTAAATTTTCACAAACCCCGGCACCCTTATAGTTCTCTCTAACCATCTGTTGGCCATGTCTGTGATAGTGCATTTAACTTTAGATCAAAGGGATGATTTCCATCCTTATTTTCACTGCTAGTTTGAACAATGAAGTACCGAGATTGATCAATTTGGATTGAGTTTTTAATCATTAGGTTTTTTTTTTTTTTTGTGTGGCTAAAACAAGCTAACTGATAGCGAAGAAAGAAGTCAAGAATGATGATCTTATACGAAATTTTAGGATTTAAATTAAATCTTCTCATTGGAAAGGTCAATTTTTCTGGTAAACCAACATGAATATGCAGAATACAGTAAATCAATCATTATAAAATTTTTGTAGGAAGCTAGTGGCTTATGAATGGTAGTAGGATTGGATGGATATGATTCGTTTTGAGCTGCGTACTTTATTTGTCTATAATAGTTTTTTGAAATATATATTTTATTGGTAATTGTAATTTGTTATATCAATGAAACCCATGGCTGTGGGATTTCACAAGTCAAGAATCTAGGAGATTTGTGCATCACACAAGCTAGTGGTCTAAAATACACCTGTGCAATGCACGGATCAGCATTCTAGCTGATGTATGATGAGCTTAATTACTTTTTAGCAAATAATCTCTGCATTAGATAGTTAACTTTTTTAGATTCATATCATATCTTGACAGCTTGAATTATTATCATCATAAACTTTATATTTAGTTGAAATTGTCATGTAAATAATAATTTGCTATTTCAAACTTTATGTTTGGTCTTTTGAGGTAGATAGTCTTTGTGCCTTAAAGTTAAAATTCCATGTTTCTCATGCCAGTGTTGTTTCAAGTGTTTTATTCATGATGAGCTCTTTATGTGGAACTTTACATTGTTTCAAGGATTTTCGTGAAGTGTTGGAGGTTGATTATGATGCAACTGATGAAAATATCAAATTCAATTATCGAAGGCTTGCACTGGTTGGTTAGCTATCCTCCATTAGTAGCTCCTGGAGTGGTTCCCTCTATGCTTTTTCATTACGAAATTTCTTTATTTTGGAAGTTTGAGTTCTCACTTATCCTTGATTGGGCTTGGAATGTTGTAGAAATGGCATCCTAACAAGCACGGAGGTGATAGTGCGTTACTGCAAAATTCCAAGAAATCAAGTAAGCTTACAGTGGTAAATTATAAACTCTTTCATTGACGGTAAAATATTCTGTTCCCTGTGTCCTTGTCAACGTTCAATTGTATAGTACAAGCGATTGTAAATTCAACAATTGTAGTCCTTCGTTCATGTGGATTTGAAATGTAGACTTTCTCGTGGTGGTTTGGTGCTCTTGTTTTCCCATTGTGTTGCTATTATTTCTTTCTGATCTCCTTTTGCCCTAAACTAGTTTCAGAAGCATATAAACGTACCTTTTCTCCCCTAGTAGGAAGTTTAATGAAAGTGAAGATATATGACATCATGATAAGTCGCCTCTAATTCAACAACTATAATTGACAGAAATCCAAATTAGCACATACGTTTCATTCTTTACTAATTAAAACCTTGGGTCCTTACCCCTCTAAGAAACTCATAAACATGCCACACATGAAAAATATTCTACAATTGAGTTATCTGTTCAGCCTGTTTTTTGTAGGTTGAAGACCCAATGCCACATTGTTTACTAAAATATCATTCATTAACCCTCTATCCAGGTTGGGTCTCTTTGATTTGCAGGCAAATGGAAGATTTGTGGCTGGTGGAAATGTGAAGGAGTGCTCTGACCTTATTAAATCTTCCATTTACTCACAGATTAACGGGAAACCAACACATGTAGATTAATGAAAGATATTCTAGTTGAACAAACATGCTATTAGTCTTTTGAACACCGAAAACCTTAATGGATCCCTTATTGTCATATCCAAATTTGGTTTTGGTTGTAGTGTGTTTTTGGGCTAAGGGAGGGCTGCATGATGGCGGTCTTGCTATTGTTTATCATGCATAATTTTCAAAGACCATAATTAAATTTATCATGCTTCTTTTACCTATTTTCTCAAGTGCCTTTTGTGCATTAATTAATTAACTCAGACTAAACTTCTTTCTCTTCGATTCCTTCTCCCAAAAATTTTACTATATCAGTATTGTAGTTAATAATCCAATCAAATTCAATTAAATCTCAACCACACCATCATCTCCTCTCTCTTTTTAACCACTTATTTCAGCTTATATCAAACTTCCCTTTCCTATACACACATATATGTCACGGACAGCAGCAGTGGAAGAGAAAATTTTGCAACTTTAATCATCAAGTCACACATCCACTCGCATAGGCTCAACAAGACAGAGATTTTGAGACAGAGATTTTGAAGTCCCACACCATCACAGCAACAACTCCTTCGACATATACACACACAGAACAGAGAAGGAAGATATTTGAGAACCCTTACATCTGATCATGTAATGATCTTAAATTTTAAATTAGTATTATAATAAATGGGGAGTGGTTAATTATTGAAACTCCTGCTAATAATATTTTTAAGGTCTAAAGTTCAGATTCTACTGTACATGAAATGACCATAAATTTTAAAAAATAAATAAATAAAATAAGAAAAACATTTGTATCTTTTTTGTAATTTTCTTTGTGCCTTTTCTTGTAAAATTCCCAATTTCCTTAATGTTCATATCTCTTCTCTCGGTCATACGCACACGTCAGGGAAAAACAAAAAAAAAAATTGGATCCTTTAACTCTCAATCCGGTTCACCATTTCTGTCTCCCAACGTGCATCTCGAAGCTTCAGGCGATTTTTCATTGTTGTGTGTGCCCTTAGTCACCGACTTACCCTTTGTTCTTATCCCCCTGCCATTTAAAAACAAAAACAGAGCATGTGAATGGGGGGAGAGAGAGTGATGGAGTGCCCAAAAATTTCCTTCCCTTCGCTGAGTCGATTGCTCCCCTACACCTTACTGTTGACTGTTCTTGTTGCTACCGTTGCTGCCTGCTACTCTTCTCTTCTTCTACGTCGTCGGCTGTTGTGGGGGATTGAGTCACCGCTGGTTCGTCTAACTCGTGCCTTCTGTTTCTCTTCTGCTCCTCTATTTCAGATCGACGAGGCTGTATTTCCTCATTATTGGTACGAGTATATGGGTGAGTTAAATGGCTTGCTTTCTTTATTTCCTTTATCAGTCATCCATCTACTCATTTTATTGTGCTCAGCAGCAACCTTTATTCCCTGTGCACACGAAACTTTCTCTTCCTCCCCTGTTTGTGTGTGTTAATTCAACTAATGTTAGAAACTTATATCTCTCCTCCTTCTCTTCGAATAATCCGTGCGTGTAAGTGTAAAATGTGATAAAGTTGAAGTTGCCAATTTTCTCTTGAATTTTGCTGCTGTTGTTCGTGACTGTTAAAAAAAAAAAAAAAAAAGAGAGAGAGAAGAGTTTAAGCTGAACTTATGTGGTGAGAGCAAAATTATGATAAGTATAGGTTAGAATTTTTGAGTTAAATTAATTTGTTTGGATTGGTTGACATTGAAGAATTGGTCAAGATAAGATTTGGATAAAAGAACTTAGACTTGAAGCTTGTAGAATGGTGCCCATGAAATGCTTGATAAAATGCCAGTGAGATGAATTTGCTTGATTGGGTATTTTACAAAATTTCTTTGAATTCCTTAAGAGACCTAAGTGAGTTGGATGTTATTGACTTGTGAATTGAGCTTAGTATTTTATAAAAATCTGCTCATAAATATAATGTTGATATGATTGGTAAGAAATTGTCAGATAAAACATTTGAATGTTGAAAAGCCTTGTTGAGGCATTTGGAATTTATGCGCAATTGCTGTTTCGATAAAAAGTTATGAATATGGAAGACACATATTTTTTTACAATGAAAGATTTGAAATTAGAGATTTTAGAAAAAGAGACTTTGTTGGTAATTCAAGACCAAATTATTTATATATATGCATCTTTGGAATATTGTGAAGTGTTTGGTGTGATGTCTGAGAAAGTTTGAAGTTGAAGGTTTTATCTTTTGTTTTTAATCACTTCTGGATTGAAGATTTTAGATGATGAGGCATGTATAAGAAAATGATAATGATATTAATTGGATATTAGGAACTTAAAGATCAAGCATTGACGCAAGATTGTCGAGTAGGAGTAAATTTTACGTTTGAGAACATATCAGGTAAGTGGATAGCGTCCCAACTAATTTTTTTCTATTAAAATTTCCTTTACTAAAATTTATGTTTTTTTGAAAATCATTTTAATAGCATTAATGTGATTATTGAATAATTGTTGATTAATATTGCTTTATTTTGAGAAATTTACTTTACCAAATTCGAAATGTTATTTGATCAATTAAGTCAAGTTTGAACTTTGATTATGAGATTTTTATTTTATCAAATATTAGATTAATACAGAGAATGATTCATGCGAGTTTGACATTGAAATTTTTTTTCAATAAATGCAAGCATGAGCATCGGATATGAAATTTGATTCTGGCAAGTTTTAATGCTTAAAAGTATTTATGCGAGTTTGATTTTGAGAATGAGAACTGTATCTTAAAAGTGATGATTTTCTCGCATGTTTGAAAATAATTTTAAAAAGAAACTTTATACAGAACACTAGTTGCTAACGGCAGTTCCGTTAGCCCTTGGCGCGCCATGGTACACCTAGCTAGCAGGGTGTTTATAGGAGGTGCTAGCCCCGTGCGATGGCCAACACACGTGGAACGGAGGGATGGTTATTCGTGAGCATCGTACTCACGTCTGTTTCGTGGCTTCAGCCGTGTTTGGTTACTTACCCTCGTGAACTGTGTGTTCACGTTTGTTTCGTGACTTTGGCTGCATTTGGTTATTGATCCCAGTGGACTGTGTGTCCACGTTTGTCTTCGTGGCAAGAGCCACGTTTGGTTATTTACTCTCGTGGACTGTGTCCATGTTTGTTAATTGTTTTGATAAGTCCCTATAATATGAAATTGATGATTTTATATTCCATTGGCTTTAAGTAGTAAATTATTTACAATTATTTATTTGCATCTTTGCAATCAAGTGACGATAATATTTCATATGATATTTTAATAGTTAAAGATTTTATTTAAAACTTTATAGAATCCTTTTACTTTCGAAGTTTATTAAATTTTTATGAAAACCGTTGCCTCTTTAAATTGCATGATTGTTTCAAACTTTCCTTTTATTCATGCTAAATTATTTATTGTTGGGACGTTATTCACTGAAAAAAAAATATATTTGGGTCTCAGATGGTATAGCGGAACTTGTAACTCAAGGCATTCATTGAGGAGTTTTATTGTTGAATGAAAGCGGAAAAATTATCTTAGTCAAATTCTAGGTTGATGAAAATTTGAACTTTATACTTACGTTGGAACCTAGCCTTAGGTGTTTCACATAGACTACAGGTAGGATCTTCACACTTCTTTTAAAATTTAATATCTGATTTAATAATGTAATTATTTTTAATTACCCTATTAGTGTGTTTAATGTATTAATTTTAGAGTTTCTCTGATCACGGCTTAAGAAATGTGAGTTTTGTACCCATATCCCTTGCCAGTCCCACCTTATTTTTGGGGGTGTGACAGATCAACAATGCTGGAACCTAAGAGAATGAAATGCTGCTACTGAACAAGGAACAAGATGATGAATTTCAACCAGAGGCGTGCAGAACAGAGGAAGACGGAGCAGAGATCAGATGGCAGTGAAGAAAGATGCACAAATCAATGATGGAGTGAGGACCCCAGACTCACGACTTGGACCACCGCTCCTGCTAGCATCGTCGGCGATTTGAATGGAAAGGGCTAGAGAATGAGCACTCTCCCTCTAGCTTGAATCTGGAATTTTCTAAACTGAGCGAGAGAAGGGAATTAAGAAAATGAGAACCGAATTCCTGTGTTTCTGCTCTCCCTTACTATATACATACATACGTACGTACATGCATGGGACTCTTAGATAATAGCCACTAAACCAACTCTTCTTCTCACTAAATATGTTTTCAAAAATAATATAATTACAATTAAAATATATTATTATATATTTTAATTTTATTTAAAATTTTTGGATTATTATAAATAAATTTGAGATCAAAACATTTTTAAGTGAATAGCACCCCTAAAATAAAATTTAAAAGAGTAAAAATAATAAACTAAAATAATTATGTACAATAATTGACAAGGTGATAATTTAATATAATAAACTTAATAAATGTATGAATTTTAATACTATCCATAAAATGAGAGTGAACTGAAATTGTTTTATTCTATCATGTTTGAAGAAAACAAGTTATTGATATGTAAATCAAAATAATACACTTACTAATTGAAACAATTAAAATTTCAAATATACAAGTTAATTAAAAATTTAAAATTTTATGACTTAACAAAATAGGTAATAATAATAAACACACAGTCCATAAGGATAAATAACTGAATACGACTTATTTCATAAAGACAAACGTAGATATATAGTCCACGTCAGTAATTAACCAGAGGTGGTTGAAGCTACAAAACGGATGTGGACACACAGTCCATGAGGATAACTAATCAGACATAGTTGAAGCCACCAAACAGATTTAGGTACAAGACATATGAATAAAACAGAGCTCACAAAAATTAGAGGGAGGATTTCATTTAAGGACCTGGGAATAAACATATTTTCTAGTGGGTCCGTAAGGATTTGAAAACTTTAGTTCAGTCCTCAAAGATTAAATTGAAAATAAGTTGAATGTAAAAAAAATGAAAATACCCTCATTTCACATATTAAAAAAAAAAACCACCAGCCACTATCACTGGAGCACCACCATCAGTGACCAAAGCCTCACTGGTGACAATAGCCGTTAGACCTCCATCCATAGAGCTCCAATTGTCGACTGGACCACAGCCAGTGGTGGTTGGAGAATTATGAAGAATTAAATTATCTAAAGGTAGCCAAGGTGGGTATAAAACTCATGACCCCTTGGCTCACCAAAATGTTTTAGACCACCAAGACATTCAACCTATTCAATCATATAATGCATAAAATTATATATAATAAACCTTATTTTCAAACTACTTGATTATTATGTTACTTGTTAATCACGTAACTTTACTTATTAATACTTTAACAAGAGTTGTCAATTACTTAACTTTTCCTTGTTAACCCTATGACCCCCGTAACAAGACTAGATTACTTGTTGATCGTGTAATTATACTTGTTAATACCTTAACAGGACTTGTCATTTACTTAATTTTTCTTGTTAAGTCCATAACTTCCACAACAAAACTACATTACTTGTTAATCACGTAACTGCATTTATTAATACCTTAACATGACTTGTTAATTACTTGAATTTACTTGTCAAATCCATGACTCCTTCAATTGAACTGTATTACTTGTTAATCATGTAATTTTACTTGTTAATTACACAACAATACTTGTTAATTATGTAGCTTGACTTGTTAATTATACAACTTTATTTGTTAATTCTATGACTCCCTCAAAATTATTTATATAATAAATCTTATTTTTCAAACCTCTTGAGTATTATGACAAGAAGTATACTTGTTAAAACTTGTTAAAACTTAATATAGCTTGTCATTTCTTCAATTTTAATTGTTAATATTATATTTGTTTTATAGGATATTGCTCTCTCTCTCTCTCTCTATATATATATATATATATGCTTATATAATTGAGAATTACGTTTGATGAGTACTGATAAAGGAGACTCAACTGTCATTGCTTTCATTATTTAACAAACTTAATTTTTTTATGTAAATTATATGTTCATTTAACAAGTGACAATAGATAATTAACAAGTATTGTTAATGAATTAACAAGTAAAGTTATGCAATTAGCAAGTAATTTAGTTTCTTTTTTGAAACAACAGTTAAACAAGTCTTGTAATAATATTAATAAGTCAAGTTATGCAATTAACAAGTATTGTTGTGTAATTAACAAGTAAAGTTACATGATTAACAAGTAATGCAGTTTAGTTGAAGGACTCATAAATTTGAAAAGTACATTCAAATTATTAACAAGTCCTATTAAGATATTAACAAGTACAATTACGTGATTAACAAGTAATATAGCTTTGTTGTGAGAGTCACAGAACCTTAATACATTCAAGGTGTTCGTTGAAATATTTGAAAAAAAGAAAGGATTAAAGGAATTTATGGCTTGTGGCACATTACAAAGTTTTAAGAAAACATGAACTTAATTTAGCTTATTATATTTTATGTTAAAGGAAATTATATAGGTTACATTTGCTGTTTGAGATTTCTCTTCTATACTATAGTGAAAAGTCATTTAAACTTGTTGATTTTACTTGGTTAATGCATGGATGATTGAATACTGTGTCTTAAGAATCAAGATCCTTTTACATTCTACAAAACTAGTTGAAAATTTCATAGTCATTGAATTGTTGGAGTTATGATTATTCGACTTAAAGAATTTTGGAAGAAAGCATGGTTTCAGACAGTTGAATTAAGGACAAATAAGGTTTTAAAAATTCTTGTAGATATTTAAGTAAAGCATAAATAGATGAAGTCATAGCCTGAGAAGTTTGTTATTATTAGGTAATTAATGGCATTATTGAAGCTTAAGTGAGAAGCTTAAATGGAGCAAGCTAGAGAGATGCTTGGAAATGTGTAAGGTGAGTGGGTAGTATAAATTTTTTTCATAAGGTTTTCATTAAATTTTCTTACTTGAATTTTAATATCATTTCTTCATAAATTTTTTTTATAAATATTCTTGTAAATCCTATTTTTTATTATGATTGTTTTATTAATTATGATAACTTGATTTTACTGATGATTTATGTTATTGACAAATAGTGATTGAAATTGATATATGACAAATGATGTTACTTTTCAAGAACAACTTAATGCTTAACGCCATGTTTGATATGCAAATTTTTTTATACTGCAACTCATGCATGGATGAAATGGAAATGAGTATGGGGATGAAATATGACCATTGAATTGTATATTTTGAAAGAAAAAAATTTTTAAAATTTTTTACTCCATGTACATTTGATTTTAATTAGTGGGACTAAGTTTAGAATACTACATGCTAATGGTAGCTCCGTTAACCTTTAGCATGTCAGTGTACACTTAGCTAGCAAGTTGATTAGAATGTGCTAGCCTCGTACAATAGCCAACGCATGTAGAATGAAGGGATGGTTATTCGTGAGTATAGTACTCACGCTTGTTTTCATGGCTTCAAGCAGCGTTTGTTAGTTACTTACCCTCATGGACTATGTGTCCATACTTGTTTGTTATTTACTCTCATGGACTGTGTATCCATGTTTGTTAATTGTTTTGATAAAGTCCTGCTAAAATGTAAATTTTTGAAAACTTATTATTTTAAAATTTATTTTATTAAACAAACTATTATTTGGTTATATATGATTTTATATGGTAAATTATATCATTCGATTGTTTAAGACAAAGATTGTAGCTTGTAATGTTGAACTTGATTTTTCCATTATCTATAATTGAATATATATTTATATACTTAATTTATGTTTTCATATATGATTGTTTAATAATAAAAATAAAATAATGAATAAATGAGTTTAATATGTTAATGGTTATTTTTATTATTGGATTCATAAATGTGCTCTTCCTTCATTTTTATAATCTCAATTGGGATGCTACTCATTAGAAAATTATCTTTAGTCTCAGATATTAAAGTTGACCTTATACCTTCTACTAATCATTAAGGAGCACAATTGTTTTCAAAAAGGTGGAAGTATATATTGAGCATTTATTTTGATGTAATTATGTATGATATTATATAATTGTAATTTAGTACTCCACGTGTACCATAGTTAGGTTTTAGTCTATTTTGTTATTGTGAAATCTGCTGGTATTGAGCTAAGCTCCTTTTTAGCTTAGATGACAAGTTTGTTATTAAAAAAAATTTTAGGAGATCCTAATTACACAGGAAACTCTACTAAAATTTCTACAAAATGATTAAGACTTTACGTGTAAAATCTTGAATTTTTAATTCTGCATCAATAACTGATTAAGGAGTAAATTAGTAATTTAATGCAAAATTAGGATTTTGGATAGTGAAGTGTTGTATTGACTTGTTGGAATGTTACATGAATAGATATGAGTAGAAAAGTGGCATCTCAAAGTAAAGCATGTGAGTAAAATAAGGATTTCCCTTATTGTACCACACACCGCGGTTAAGGCTGGATGCACAGTGGCGTATGGAGCAAAAATTAAATAAAAAGAATGTGTTTGCTAGGGCTTTAGAGAAGAAGGGAATCTTTGCTAAGGCTTTAGTTTTCAAAAGCAAGGACGATGTTTCCAACCTATTACTTATTAGGTAAGTCTTGTATTGCCTTAACATCCAATTCTACCCTATTTTTTTTAGTTTTAACTATTGAGAAATTGAATTCAAAAGTTTTAAGGAGATGATTTCTTACCCTATAATAATAAAAGGTCCTCTGGTATTAAACTAGACCTTTATGACTAATTTGAGTCAGAACGATAAAGCTTTAAAGTGATAGGTTCAATTTGACTTAATTTAGAGAGAGAGGAATGAGAGAAATATGATTAGGTAAAGGTTAGAGCTTGTGTTGGGTAGTAATTGGTCGTAATGTGCGTGAATGAGTATGAACAAGGGAATGATAATGATTAGGTTCTTAAATGTTATAATTAGCACTTTTAGTCAATAAGATATTTGACTTTAATTGTCAATTTTGTGTAGATTCTCGTGTATGAAGTGTTAATAGAAGAAAGAGATTTGAGTAAGTAATGGAACGCAAGTAACCTTTTCTTGCGAATAGAAGGGTTGAGGTAACCATATAGTTTGTTATGTTTATTAGCTATTATAACT